TGATTTGAACTGAAGACTGGAGTAATGGCTGATGAAAATTCAGCTTTGCAACACAGGACTAAATTACATTTTAAAATATATTCAAATAAAAACGGTTATTATAAATTGTAATAATATTTCAGAAGATTACTCTTTTTTTTAATTAAAGTAAATGCAGTCTTGATGGGAAAAAGAGACATTTAAAAAGATCTCCACGACCCCGAACCTCTGAATGCTAGTGTATGTCTAGGGACCAGCATATCATAAGGATTTGGGAGTATGCTCTTGCAACCACCCAGAACATCTTAGCAACTGCATAGCAACGACCAAAACTCCCAAGCATCATGACTGCAAGGTTTGAATGACCAAGCATCACTTAAAAGTCTAGTAGTCTGTGTTCTTTTAAATAGAAGGCTCATGTCATTTTCAGTGCAGTCCTGTCATTAGTCATGTATTGTTCTTCATTTGTCCACAAACCTTTCGGACTGCTAGCCCCTGGCCTTGTGTGCTCTGTGGTGTGCTGTTGTGTTTCTCAGAGGCGAAGTGCTCTCTGTTCTCCGTAATGGAGGCTGCATTCCTGCCATGCCTATGGGGACGGGGCAGGGAGAGACCAGAGGCAGAGAACAGCCAGAGTCAGCCAGTTTGAGTTCTGCTGAACTATCACACACATCTTCTCCTTCAAAGACTTACTCAGCATGTGACTTTCTACAGTTAGTTGTATACAAAATATACAAACAGAAAAAGGTTCATGTTTTTGAAAGAAACGTTTATGAAGTCGGGCTTTCTTTCCGTGGACTTCTTTTAATGGGGCAAATTCTTAATCTAGATGTGTTGGGAATGACAAAATCATAAGAAACAGATGAAAAAACAGCTTGCTGTTTTTTATACATTTAAAGTTCATAAGCTATAAGCTTCATATATATATATATATTTTTTTAATTTGGCATGTTAAAGGGGACAGTTTCTGCCAATCTCGTGTTAATCTTGAGTACCTACAGAGAAGTATTGCATCCTTCACATCTCCGAAGGGTCTGTAGTTTTATCAGATTTATAAAAGACAGATACAGCTTTACGCTTCTCTCTGAAAACAGTCGAGCTCCTGGAGTCGTGCCGTGAGTGGAGATAAAGAGTCCCGAGCACATGAAGCTTTTGCGTAGCGATCGTCTGCAAGCTGTGACATCGAACCAAACAGGAACAAAAACTTTACTGACTTTAAAGTTGACGCTGCCGACGACTTCCGTAACCCAAATGAAGCATGTTGATGGGCTGGTTGATGTGTGTGCGTGCTTTTCTGGAAGAAGTGCCTATACAAGGAATTCTGCCCTTTATGAGGTCATGAAGGGCCATACTCGAAAAAAACTTTCCGAAACTCATACAAACCCTGAAGGAGTGTCTTTGGCACTGAAATACTCTTTCATACGTCCAACTCGTTTTTGGAAACTTTGGCCATGTTGAGCTTGAGAATCCAACTCTTTAAAAGTGTATATAACTCTGAATACTTGAAATAGCATTAGACCTCCCCTTTAAGATAAGTATGTTAAGTATATAACCAGAGCAGTCTATGCTTGTAGGTATCAGAGCGACTGACCCTACCAGGTGTGGCGATCGGGCTGGCCTGGACTCCGATGGGTGGAGAGATCATGTTTGTGGAGGCCAGTCGTATGGAAGGAGAAGGTCAGTTGACTCTGACAGGACAGCTGGGCGATGTCATGAAGGAATCAGCCCATTTAGCTATCAGCTGGCTCCGCAGCAATGCCAAAACATACCTCCTCACTAATGGTAAGTTATAGACATACACTACATTAAAGTTGGTAAGATTTTCAAATGTTTTGAAAGAAGTGTCTTGTGCTGTTTGGTTAGTTAATTTTGTGAATATTGTTACAATCAATCAAAAAAAAAAGTATATATTTTTTAAATGTAATTTTTTTCTGTGATAGCAATGAATTTTCAACAGCGATTTGACTATGAGTGAGACTGATTTATTACAATGTGCGTGTCTGAATGATGTTGTCGTAGGCATTGCTGATCCCCTGGAGGGTACCGATATACACTTGCACTTCCCAGCAGGTGCCGTCACTAAGGACGGACCCTCCGCAGGTGTTACCATAGTAATCTGCCTGGCCTCGCTGTTGAGTGGGCGGCTGGTGCGCTCTGATGTGGCCATAACTGGAGAGATCACTCTAAGAGGACTGGTGCTGCCGGTGAGGAACCCAAAGCACATCGCTCACACAAAACTGATTTTATTTAAAGACCATTCATCATCAGAAGCTGCTAAAATACACTGTCTGATCTCACAGGATATATCTTCTCTCTACAGGTGGGAGGTATAAAGGATAAAGTATTGGCAGCTCACCGGGCCAATCTGAAACGAGTTATCATTCCCAAGCGCAATGAGAAAGATCTGGAGGAGATACCTCCCCATGTGCGAGCTGACCTGGATTTTGTTTTCGCCAGCACTTTGGATGAAGCCCTGAATGCAGCCTTTGATGGCGGGTTTCCCGCGGCTGTCAGTCATCTACAAGTTGTCAGCAAACTCTGAGACTGTAGTTGCTAGACAAACTAGCAACTAGACCTTTTTTTTTTTTAAATAGAGGAAGCTTAACACTAAGCACTTATTGTTTGTCACCTTAAGCATTGAATACTAGCAAATCAGTTTTATGCAGTTTAATACTAGCAAATCTGATTATTTTATCAGTTTTTATCCTCTAATTAATTTATGATTTAATTACAGATGATTGCA